GTCTGTGCTGAAGAGCTGTGCGAAGGGCAAAATGTGCACTTAGGGTGGAGTGTGCTGCCACACTATAACTATTTTCGATTGTGTTGTGCATACAAACTTGCCTCATATATATTTACAAATTTATTATTAAATAATTATATTTGCCATTACTTAAATTTATGTCTGTTTGTTTGCATGTATGTTGTTGTCTACGCCAACCTTCATTGCTGCTGTTGTCAGCTGTCGGTAGTCAGCAGATGGCGCTTGCATAAGCGTCTACCTTAACTATAAGAATGTTCATTTATATATACATATGTACGTATGTAGCGCTGTGTGTTTGCTCTAACAGTCGGGCTTTAATTGAAGGTGTCGCGTTGCTTAGACACGAGACTGACTGGCAGTTCAGAGTGATTGCAAGAAGCTCGTATTGATTTATGTATTTAATGTGAGTATGAAAAAAAAAATTAAAATATGTAACTGCTTATAATTGATGAAAAATATGTAGATTTGTAGTAGGGTGGGTAAAAAGTCTTAAATTTTTTACAATATGTTTTGAAAAGCTGTGCTAAAAACCTCACAAATTGTTTCCAATATTTGGTTAGGTTATGTTAATCTTGTAAGCCAATGAGTCACGCATAGCCTAGTTTTCATCCTTTGCGATACCGAACAGAGTTCAGGTGCTAAGTCTAAGAGGAATATTCATCATTTATAATGGCTGCGCTTGACGTGAATTTTAACAGACTCCGTGGCCTCACTATATATACAATGGGGACCCCAGATGCTTACAGCGTAGTCTCGAGTTCCTCAGTTTTTAAGATATCGATTTAAAACTTTGCAACCGTACTTTTCTTCTTAAGAAATTGGTTATTTGTTGAAACCACCGATATCGGACCACTATAACAAATAGCTGCCATACAAACTGAACGATCAAATGAAATGAAATGTATGAAAAACTGTTTTATTTAAGAAGATATATTCTTGAAATTTGGCAGGAATTCTTACTCAAATTAACGCTATAATTTCCAGAAAATCTGTTGAGATCGAACTAATATACCATATAGCAGTCATGCAAACTGTACGATCAAAATTCAGGCCTCATATGAAAAACTTTTTTATTTGACGATATATCTTCACGAAATTTAGCACGAATTATTGCTTAAAGCAAAGGCACAATCTTACAAGAAATTATATAGATTGGAATACTGTAGCATATATGTAGCTGTCATACAAACTGACCTTTCAAAATCAAGATAATTATATTTTTATACTCTTTTATACAGCACGTTTCAAGGGTGTTATAGCTTCGGTGTTGCCGAAGTTAACATTTTTCTTGTTTTCTTTATTATCAGCAAGATAGTTTTATATCTCAGTATTTTACATTTGAAAAAATATCTCGTTTCTTATATTTGTAAGAAATTGAGTTCCTATCAAAAATTTCCTCGCTCATCATTCAAAAATAATTAAAGATATCAAAAAATAAATAAATTAAAAAAAATTCAATTTGCTTTGAACCACTCTAATGCTATATAAATATGTTTTTCATTCGTTATTCTTATTACTTTTTATAGCTGAGGTCTTTAGCCCGCGGCTCTAAGCTGCGCAAGCAAATATTTATAGGCATGCCAACATATCTATTAGCTGTTGTTGTTGTTCTATTGAACTATGCTAAACAAATTAATTTCGAATTAATTTTAATTGTTTTGACCAGCTGTGCTGTGACGGGAGCTTAAAAGGGTTCTCAAGCTGTGCATTGAAGCATACATACAAACATAAGTCCATACATACTCACAAATAACATGAAGATTTACATACATACATTCATTAATATATATATAAATACTTGTACTAGTATTTATTCCACGATTTGTTACCTTTGCAAATAATAACGAATGCTCAGTTCATTTGCAAGTCACTCTATGGGTCAATTAATCGAAAGTATCGCTTACAAACATACGAACGAATCGGCATGTCTGTCCCTATAAATAGACTGTCTATGGAAATGAAAGTGATTGTCGATGAATAATTTTAATTGTAGGGAGAATGCTTCGGTTGTTAATTGCATTAAATGTCATTATGTTTGGCTGCTAGGGTGACCTAGGTAAGAGTGTCGCTCAACAACGGAAGCGTTATACATTCTAAGATTTTATTTCATGGCTCTTCAAAGATTTATAGGGTTCTTCTTCTTCTTGACTGGCGTAGTCACCGCTTACGCGATTATAGCCGAGTTAACAACAGTGCGCCTGTCGTTTCTTCTTTTCGCTACGTGGCGCCAATTAGATATTCCAAGTGAAGCCAGGTCCTTCTCCACGACGGGTGATAAATTGATAATTAGCCTACTAACTGGCGACAACTATGAAATTCGAATCAAATTCGAGCTGATTCAATTGAAATCCGGGCGCTAATTGAATAGTTAGAAAACTTATTTTGTTTTACAACCTCTTTTATGTTCGTGTGATACTTGCAATTCCAAAAAAATTGCAAAGTTAAAGAATCAAATGTACCTCCAAATAGTGTTGTTTTGAAAGTAGGCGTGATTGTAGTTCAATTCCGCCCCTTTGCACTATGTGACATAGGAAAATCAAGACCGTTTCTGAGATGTGGGGTTTCGTTCAATGGTGGCGTCTCCTATAAAGCTCTCTCGTATGTCCGTAAAAACAATTAAAGTATGTTTTTAAAATCGGAAGAAATGTTTAACAACTAGTATTTTTTAACTATTCTAATATGTAATAATACTTTTTTAAACAAATATAAATTAATAGAA